GTTTATCCTATAGTATCCCTATCTAGTCTTATAAGGCAATTGTTTAAAGCTAGTGAAGTAACTGGAAAGCTGACAATTCACATACACAGTGTCCAAGTGCATTTCGTTGATACATGATTGTATAGAGGGTATAGTGAATACACCTTGTACTACCCTAGGACTTCAACTTTGCAGCATCTGACCGCCTGAGTTGGTAATCGGGATGGAGAGGGGGGGGGGTTGGGGGTTGAGGGGGTAGAAATTAATCCAGAATCTATCTTCATATCTCCTGGTCAGATTGTGTCCATTATTAGGGTTATGATTAAAAATGCTTTTTAGTAATTATCCGTCTTTATCCGTTTTTGGAAAGCTAGTAGCGCATAAGGTGGATTATGAAAATAAGCTACTTCAGTAAATGCTTAGATAAGAGAAGTGGTGCATCATACTAACTTACGTTGGAAACGATAAAGTACTGGTCTCTTGACAGATCCACTTCCTTCACAAGAGATGCACACAATTGTGTCCTTGGTAATTTCACCGTTCTTATTAATTTCACAGTTCCCAATCATTGGAGGATCTTCAATGTAGAATCTTCTGCAAGTACTTGATTTTGTGTTCAAATCAGATGTGAACAATAGGCACACTATAATCTTGTAACTATTCTTGAACATCTTCAAAAATGCTGTCTGAATGACCAGATTTTTCTTGTCGAAATCTGTTGTAGGCAAAAGATGTGTAAATTGAAGATCATAATTAATGGAAATGATTTAATAATGGGAATTCACATTTGCTTGCTAGCTTGAGTTCGTCTGGTGTAAGGGAAATTGTAGTTCCATATTGGTCTTCTCTTTCAATAGTCCACAAGAAATTTCCAGTACAATTTCCACTACATCTTCCTTCAAGTGCAAGGTCGTTCGTTTTGCTCACACTTGTCACACCATCCCAAATACCACTCATTCCCAAACCTGGTCGAACCATTCTACAAAAGAAGTAACTTTGGAGTCAAATAGACACATTCACTTTAAATAAAGAGGTTGGAAAGAGGCATACAGGATTTTCAGCAACGACACATCACCAGGTACAAAAGTGACTTGCAAATTACCAACTCCACTATGTTGTCCAACTCGAGCAGTTGCTTTGAATAAGTATGTATCGGTGAGATTAAGAAGGGTCCTATTGATGCAGAAGTCACCAGCATTCATTCCGGGAAGTCTTGGAAGGTTACAGGAAGTCATTGCACCTGGTAGGGCGCTCAAACGACGAGAGCATGAGATGTGCCAATTCGTAATACTCTGAAGAAGAGAGAATCCACGCATTTATTCAAAGTGAAAGTTGTTTAAATGTGATTATAATATAGATTACTTTGCCAGATTTGGAATTTTGGAGATTCGGATTGTAGGAGTGTTTGAATGGGGAGAGGCAGAGCTCAGTGAAACTGTCGCTGACCCACATCATTTCTTCTCCATTTTCCAGAAACCGAATGATAGGAGCCATTTCAGAAACAAGAACATAGGCACCAACTCCAGAGTAAGATATCACATTGTTCAATATTCCCACCAACTTTACCTCAAATAATCCAGGCATCAGAAGACCAGGTGGTAGGGTGATCTTCAAATTAGCTGCTGACGGAAGTTGGGGTAAATTGATTTCACTCACCCTCTCTGCAGTCTGTGAATCTAGCTTAAAGAGCAACCACTTGAAGAGCATTGCTTGAAATGCTGAGCACACGGTTCCATTGCTTTTAGCCACTATTGTGAGTCGATCATCAACTTTAATCAAAGCTGGAGTATTTGGACTTCCAATACTTGATGTCTCCAGAGAGGTAAAAGGCAAATAGCAATTATCCTCACTGACAAATACATTTAAGCTGTCTGTCGTGTTGCCCACAGAAGACGTAATAGTATAGGCACGAGTTTCAGAGTACAAAACAGGAATGGTGAAGGACCTCTTGGCGATTGGTCGAGATAAAACGGTATAGGAGGGACAATCGTGGCACATTGACCCTCCAACAGGTGGGAAAGCGATATGAGCACCATTTCCAAGATCCACACATACACAAACTGCATCAGCAAGACCAACAAAGGAGAGTCTAAGCTCACCTTGGACGTTTGGAGCAAGATTTAATGTGGAGGGAGAAAGACGCATACCCCTCACCACACCCGTCACGTGAATGGTCTTGACAAAGACGTAGTAGTTGATAGTATTGCTCATATTGGCGATGACCTTAAAATTCCCTAACTAGGATACAAGATAGAACTCTTAACAGGATAATGTTAAGCATTCTTAATCAAATTAACCATCATTATTCTTGAACTCGTTTAATATTGAGGCGGTTTTCAATTTCCCTCCAAAACTCTTTTCTGATTTCGATTTGTGAATAGGTTTTTTTCGTTATAAGTTTATTTTGCCAATTTCTGAAGGAAAATCAATCAACTATTTTCAGCCATTTAAACAAAGTTCAGAGACTTCTTGTACCGTTTAACAGATTATCAAATTTTCACTTTTGTACCTGGTTGTGCAATGCCACAACATTTTCATTATTGGAAACTCAATCATCACTCATACACTTTTATCGATATGGGGTGTAAGACAGACAACCTCCACGTAGTGCAATCTGGTTTAACGTTTACTCATGCGGCAATAAAGCCTTTAAACTGGTAGTTCACTTCTGACTTCAAACTACCACAACCCCACTGACAAATTCAACCACTTCCACGGCACTCACCTCACCGTTTCTCAACCTTTGTGTCTGGCCCTTTCACATATGTGAATCTTTATTCTGTTCACCCCCCCCCCCAAACTTGTCATTTTGTCACTTAAATGTTCCTCCCCTCTGTGAAACCCGAAGTCAACTAAAGGGCTAATGATACCTTTCATAAGGTCTGCCATTTGATATAAGCAAAATCTTATTGATATGAAAAAGACATTTCTTCACCAAATAAATAGACAGAATTTTCAAAGCTTTTTCATTCTTCTGAACATGAACAACAATAGCCACTGTACACCAACGTATATGTATAGGATTAAAGTAGTTAAATGTTTAGGTCATATTATGGATCAATTATCACGTGCTTTTACCACCTAGAACTGTATGACATCTCCTGAGTAGTCAATGTCATAGATTATCACTTACATTTTCTGACCTTTAGAATGGCAAGTCAGATTAAGAGTTGAGTAATGGGACATATCAATGTACAGCATGATAGTTTGGGCGAGTATTAAGGAATGCTCATTAACAAATTATGAATTCTTACGTCGACAATCTTGTTTAGATTTAAATTAATAGCCACCTGCATCAAATCCTCTTATGGATCACTAAATACCCACAAAATGACCTTTCCGACTTCAACGAGAGAATCTTTTATTCTATCATTTTACAAAATAACTTTGTGGTGCTTCCTTTGTGCCTTTACTATTTGAAAATACCTCATTCTCTCTCTGTTACAGTGTATGAATCTAATATGGAAACTGTTAATGATATTCTAACATCACCACATTATCTGGATGAAAACATCTTCATGCGCATCAATTAGGTTCAAAATTGTGATCTAATAGTTTTAGAAGATGATAATATGGTTGCTAAACTCAGGCATTCTCAGAAATAAACACTCACTTCTGAAATTTTATAAACTGTAGAGGTGGTAGTGTACAGTTGGCTGAATATGACATCTTCATCTCCTTGTTCCCTTTTGATGACAAGATATGTAGCATTGATGGTTCCACCGACTGACACGGACTCAAAGCGGATGCTATCATCCAGTGTGAAGTAATCTTCGTCTACTCCATAACCAGTAACATTCAATTGGTCGATGTAGGTCTGTACTGAGGCCACGATGATGGGTCTGAAGAAACTAAACTGTAGAGAAGAAGAAATAGTACAGATGGCTACTCTAAAGTTTCAAATTTCGACAGAATGATAGCACAATGAATTATATAAGCAGTCAACATGAAAGTTCAGAGCCCTTTATTTGAACAACTTCACTTTCTGACACATGTTTCTGATTATTAGTCATTCCAACAACTGTCACCTTTGTTTGGTCTCTATTAGGAACCAATGGGAAAGAAGATGGCTGTTGTTCTCTTATACATGATCATTACTTGCTTTCGGCTAAATCTTTCCACGTGTCATGCTTTCCTTGACTCTCCTTTCATTCCATTATTCCTAGAGTTACCTCTTGATTGAAAGCTGCGCGGCAGACTCACCTCCACGTACACTCTTTCTTCAAATTACCATGGCCCCATTGCATGTTATATTCCATTTCTTCCACAGCACTCTCCCTACCTTTTTCTCTGCCTTTATGTCAGTCCCTTTTATATTTGTGAATGCTTCTTTTGTTCCTCTTTTCAACATTTTGTGGATTTGATGTCTCCTCTACCCCTCTGTGAGGGCCGAAGTCAAATCATAGGCTAATGATTACTATCACAAAATCTGTCATTTGATATATAATTTTTTGATTAAAATATATAAAAGTAAAAAGTACAATAACTAATTTCGCATAGTTGTCATCGGTGCATAATTTCCACTTACTGACAATGTCATATTCTGAGATGAAGCTCTATTCTTCACACTGATATTAAGGGCGAGGTTGCCCTCTTTCGACATTCGATGATTGAGTTGAAGATCGTTGACTGTGCTATCCATTGGGGTCGTTGTGATAGTCTCGTTAGCCCAGTTAACATTGACTTCAATCGCATTGGACCTCGCACCAGCCGTTCCTCGATAGACAACATGCAAAATCAGATCACCTAAACCAATAGAAATACAACTACTGAAACTTTTAAAGGCCAAATTGAAAAAGACGTGATAAATAAGTAATTAAGCTAAGGCATGAAATATTTTCCTTGGGAAAATATTGGATCTTCACTTGAAATCGCTTGCAGTTTGTGCTAAGTGTCCATGGCTAAAGCACTTAAGACGTTTGGATCTAAATAGATCCTTAATGCTAGTTATGTATTTGCAGGAATTTGACATTTGATGCTTATCAAATCAGCACCCACCCTCTTACCCATCATTAATCTGAACATATTGTTCAACTTAAGTTAATTAAGATAGATAAGGTCCAACCACGTCAAGAGATTGTGGTTGCTGACTAATTTTCATTTTTCTTGATTGTTTACTTTGATAGTTCTACTCTAAGTTTCTATAATGTTACTAGGGTGACTCGTGCGATCTTATCGATCTGCTCACATTAGCGCAGGCGACTGCTCTCCCATTCGTTGGCTTGATATAATGAGAGACTGTGTGTTATTCTGTCACTATTACGATAGTTTAAACACAGTTGAAATACTTTTTTATATGATATTCAAACACAATTTTGAGTTAGGTTAATTCTAAATTTGTTACCATGACGAAAAAGCTGGGTTTTATTATTAACATTCATAGTTAGTCAGTGCAACTAGTTTTACTTAATCAAAATGCATTAATTTGCACTAGAAACCAACCTGGTGGACCGACATTCTCCTCTTCAAGGTAGGCTGAAAAATCAGTAACTGGGTTTTGAATCTCAACTGTCAGATTGTTACTATGCGTGGAAAAACCGTTGGTCATAAAAATGCTGTATGTCCATATGCCTTGAGGTTTCGGTCTTGGAGCATATGACCAGGGAGATGTAGCTGATGAAATGCAAAAGACATTAGGTATATTTTATCAAAAGCATTTCGAAAAAATTTGCCTTCTTTACTCATTCTAATTAATGGTGCTGATATATTTGTTCGCTGAATCATTCATATCGAAAAGATATTAGCACAACGAATTCCAATATCACAGGGCCAAAACAAGAAAAAGAGAAGAAATATCCACTCACCGGCAAAAATCGCTGAAACCATACTTCCCGGTTCATCAATAGTAACCGATACATTTTCGCTGCTATTAAATTCCCCAATCAATTCGAAATAATCTCCGGCAGTAATATAACTACTTGGACTGACACTGCAAAACTCATTCCAAAGTCCAGGACCAATTTCAACAAGGACATCAAGGAGGGTTCCTTTTACTGAATTTTGTTCTACCACAGTTTGTATGGAGTATTGTCCTACCTTAGTGTAGGTATGTTTTATTGGTGTATACAATTGATAGTAAGCCAAGGTAGTTGGCTCAGTTCCATCGTCCCAGTCTATTGATACGTCTAGACATGGACTTTCTTGGCCACTTTTAAGAACTATTTCCCCAATTAGCTCTTCATTTTCAGCAACACGAGTTTGATTCACTTGCAGGACGTAGGCACCAAGTGGTGGCATGACATAGATAATTTCAATATTTGACAAGTTGACAGAACCAATAGTTAAACTTCCGTGGAGCACATATTTACCGGGATTGGAGAAACCGGGATGTTGGTGAGTGAATTGGGGTGAAATTAAAACATTACGACCAACATTTTGAGTATCGAAATAGCCATATTCATCAAATACTTCAATCACACCTCCACTGCCAACACCTTGAATTCGAGATGTCAGAGTTATTGGAGTATTTACAGGTATTTTTCTGAAATATATAAAATAATTTGTGATGAAATGATCCTAGTCCACAATCTTTCCCATTTGTTCTTTGTCTATTACTTTTCATTTGATTCAATAGAGTAATGAATAGGTACTTTTTCCACCCAGAAATCAAATATCCTTTGCATGGAGCCTCGTTCACTACACAATTCAATGGAGACTTTGTGCTGTCCAATAGCTTGGAAAATCATAGGTTCGGAGTAAACCACCCTTTCAGTAAGGTTTAGTTTCACAGGTCTGCATTCACCGGAATCCACTGATATTTCACCGCTAGTGGGGATTCCATCAGTGTAAATGAAGGTTAAAACTGATTTCGTTTCAACGGCGATACTGTCATATTTGAGATCCAAACCTGAAGAGAAGACGCACGAGAAAATCAAGTGCAATGCATTTAAAATAGATATAAAAATAAACAAAAAGTTTTAACTTTTGTTTTAAACAAATAAACCCTAATCACCAAGGGAATAAAACTGCCAAGGGAAAACGGTGATGGTTGTTTTTGTTTAAACTTGCATTATTAATTTAAATCCAGAGTATTTGAATTTGACTTATGATAAATGTTTAATCTGTTTAATTTTCATAAATTGGTCTTTGGGGCTTTAGGGGTCAAAATTAGGGAAAACTTTGCATACAAGAAAACGATTATACTCAAAGTATACTCAAATACTATATGGGGATAATCTCTTTTATCAATTATTTGAGTTTCGCTGCCTCTATAAACACTTCCGATCAGATATGCTAAACATGATCTTAAAAGATAAGATAATATCATTTAAATCTGAAGATAAGATAAGCAAAAATCGGGTTGACCTGGAGTTGATAGTAAGCTGATCTAACCTTAAGACGACTTTGTTGATCTCTAGAGTAACGTCTCATGATTTGTTGTCTCTTTCGTAAATTAACTATTACACAAAGAAAATATAAATTCCTTTCTGTCAGTACTAGATTTACTCATTTTCTGAACCATCAATATACTTTCTCTGACAAGGAAATCGGAACTTTTATCAAGTGCAAAATTTACAGTCTACTGCCTGCAATCTTGTTAAGATTTAACTTCTATGGTTTTCTATCCACACCAAAGGTCATCTCACTAAGAAAATACTCTAGTTGAGCATTCCGAAATTGA